TTTATTTTTAATATAAGATTGATGTTCACTTATTCTAACATTTAATGGCCTTGATGATTCACCTAAATAAAACTGATCGCATTCACAAGGTATTTTATAAATGCAATTCTTTGTCCTTTCTTGTTCATTTTTAGGTTTGGTTTTGGACAAAATAGATCTCAACGTGTTTGTTGTTTTGAATGTTGTTGAAATGTTGAATTTATTTCCTATCCTTTTAAGTTTTTCTGATAGTCCTTTTATGTACGGTATTGTTATTTTCCTCATATTATTCCTTGTGTATGCTGTAGGATCTCGTTCTAAGTTGTTCTGTTCTATTCGATCGATTGTTGAAAATTCCTTATTTATAAACGATAAAGGATAATCATTTTTTAATAAAACAGATGTTAACAAATGTTTCTCCTTCAAGAACGAATTTTCATTAGAACAAGTAATTTTGGCTCTATCGTATAACGATTTAATTATTCCCTTTTTTACATTAATATTGTGATTTGATTTGAAATTTAAATATCTATTGGTGTGTGTTGGTTTTCTATACACCTGAGTCTCATATCCAGTATCGTTCTTAGAGATTAAAACATCCAGGAAAGGTAGCGAGTTATTATATTCCTTTTCCATGGTAAATGTTATTGTCTCTTCTTCACCGTTTATATCATTTAGGAATGTGTCCAACAACTCTGATCCATGAGGCCATATTGAGAATACATCATCTACATACCTCCACCATACTGTGGGTTTGAACTTTTGTTTAGAAATGATATTTGTTTCAAAATCTTCCATAAATGTATCGGCTAAGAATGGAGATAAACTAGAGCCCATTGCTAGACCAAAATTTTGTTTATAGAATTCATTATTTAGTTGAAAATATGTATTATCAGTACATAATGTTAATAACTCCATTATAGCCGATATGTTTAGTCTTGTTCTAGTTGCCAATGAATCATCACTCTCTAATTTTGTCTTGACTATATTTAAAGTCTTATTTAATGGCACATTCGTAAATAAACTATTTATGTCAAAACTTACCAAAGTATGATTTGAATTAAATTCAATATTTGATAATTTATTTAAAAAATGTGTATTTTTTATGAATGTGTCATTTTTATTTGTAAATGGTTTCAACAACATTCAAAACAACAAACACGTTGAGATCTATTTTGTCCAAAACCAAACCTAACAATGAACAAGAAAGGACAAAGAATTGCATTTATAAAATACCTTGTGAATGCGATCAGTTTTATTTAGGTGAATCATCAAGGCCATTAAATGTTAGAATAAGTGAACATCAATCTTATATTAAAAATAAAGAATTTGATAGATCTCAAATCTGTAAACACGCATGGGATAATGAACATAGGGTTCAATGGAATAATTCAAATGTAGTCCTAAAAGAAACGGATAGTAAAAAAAGAAAAATCAAAGAAGCGGCTTCAATTATGCTAAATGAGGCCAATTGTGTCGCAAATTCCTCGGCAGAATGTAGTAGGATATGGTTACCAATATTGAAAGAGGAAGTTATTAATAAGAAAATACCAGTATTAGTAAGTCAGTAACATATAGAGGATACATCATTTATGTTTTTTAAATAACGTAACATATAAAATCGGAATTTTAATGTTTGTTGAAGGTAAACTAAATTCACGAACAAATACTTACAATGTCGGGATAGTATTATGAGGTTTTTTTTTCCTGGTTTTCCCTCATAATTTACTATGGAATCACTAACAGGAGAATTTTACTGTCATCATGTCATGTGTTTGTTTTTTTAAAGACGAATTACATGCTATGATTTTTTTCTGACGGATATTCTCAAGTTAAAGTCGATTTCATGTAATCGAATGAACTATCTTATAAGTAAAGTCGTCCCAGGAGCGCAACTCAACAATATTTGCAATATCATTTTAAAGTCGTCTACTTTAAAATGCATAATGTATATCTGAATTGTCAATATAAATGAGTCAGATAAAATTAAATTATTAGAAGAATTTTTCACTATGTAACAAAAAACAAAATTTGTTTAATTTACTGTTTGTATTTTGAGAACGATTTCCGAAGTGGAAATTGAAACGTCAATAAACGTATTTTTATCTTTAATTGTGGCTTATTCCCAGTTTAATAGTAATTAATTTTATATTTGTCATAAATATAATATATTTTGATGGGTCGTTAACGACCCATTGGGTACATTACATATCATACTGAGAAAATTTTGTTTTAGTAAGAAACCATTATCTACTGCAGAAATTCGAGAGCAAATAGAAAATATTGAAAATGGTAAGGATATACCGGACTAAATAGAGGTCAATTAAATGCTCATGCTGAAGTACAATTTCAAAATGATGAGAAAAACATAGAAAATGAAGTTAATAATGTTGTCGCCATATTGTCTTAAGAGCATGGAATTAAGCCAATCCAAAAAGCAAGCCGATATTCAGTAAAAGAAAAACAATAAATTCAACTAGATCGACCATTTGTTATTTCGCAATACAACAGATTTATGGGAGGAGTCGACTTGATGGACAACATTTCGAACTATATCAAGAATATATATAGAATAAAAATACGTAGAAAAAAATGGTACTTTCCAATATGGATATGGATTCTGTATGTTTGTGTAACTAATGCTTGGACACAAACACGACAATTTGGATATAAAAATGACAACTTGATATTTAGAAGGCATATAGCTCGTACATTATTGTCTAATTATGGAAAACCCGTTCTACTGAACCTCAAAATATTACAATAATGCTCCATCCACATCAAAACAGCATCTAATTATTACTGGTGCCCAAAGAAGATGTCGTGTATGTTCTATTAAAACTACAAACGTATGCGATAGATGTGAAATTATACTCCACGATAAATGCTTCAAAGATTATCATAGAAACTATTTTAGACCTGAATAATATATTTAGTAGATAATATAATTAAACTATGCCTGCTTCATTGTTTTTATTTTTGGGAGTAAATGTGCAATTTGTTAGAAGAAAATAAAATAAAATGTAATTGCATAAAAGGTATTATTTTTATTTTGTACCCCTACGTGCCCAACAACGGGTCGTTAACGACCCAGTCTGTTTTTAAAAATTTTTATTATTTTGTGGCAATACCATTAGTTAACTACATAATGACGTGTGGATAGCGGCTGCTCTCATTGGTTGCATAGCCAAAAGCGAGTTTTGCATCTCTTTTAACGTTATAAAAAGATAGTTTTGCATATTTCTTTGATTTTTATGTCAAAATAGAATCAGAAGCAAATGAGTAATCGATTTTTTTTTAAGTGTGACTCAAAATAAAAGCGCCAGTTTAGATCTGATTCAAAACAAATAGTTCACACAGTGAATACAACCAAATAGTACACAACCATTTAGGGAAAGAGATTTCTGACTTAGACAGTGACTCCTCTGTAGACAATTGTTCAGTATCATTTAACTCCGAATCTGAAACAACATTCAACTCGATACTTCAATGGAACATTGATTGATTTTTTCTTCGTCTCCCTATGCTGAAGCTTCTTTTATCTGAATATTCTCCAGATATTATTTGACGGTACGGCTGGGGGTAAACGGAAAAGAACAATCTCCTTTTCCGTTTACCCCCAGCATGTAGCACATATTCAGCTGAACTCTACGCCATAGACCATGCTGTGAAACTTCTTAACGAGCTTACACTCACAAAAGCCATGATCATAAGAGATTCCCTTAACTATCTAAACTTAAACACATTAAACACATTTTTCCGAAACATCCTTTTGAAAAGTTGCTAAAATACCAGCTTTCCTAAGCTCATGAACATGGAAAAAGCGTCTAATTTTTATGGGTTCCCTCACACGTCGGAATAACATGAAATGACGAAAGCTGACAGGACTGCACGAGAGGCAATTTTAAGTGATTTGCCGGAGCCGATAGACAAGTGTGATTCCAGTGACTTAAAAGCTTATTTTAAAAATAAAGTGTGGTGAAATGAGTGGTCTCAAACTAATTCCAATCTAAAAAAAATCAAAAATAATGTGTCTCAGTGGTTTACATCGTCACGCAATAGACGAGAACAAATTTGGTTGCGCGTTTACGTCTAGGACATACCAGATTAATGCACTCTTACCTTTTCACAAAGAAAAATCCACCTATAAGTGATCAGTGTAACGTCCGATTAACAGTCGAACACTTTTTAACAATTTGTAGTATATATGACCTAGAAAGACAGCGTTACAAGATATCAAACGCTCTACGTTAAAACTGTTCCTGTGACAGCATAGTGAATTATCTCAAATCCATAAACATTTTATACAATCTGTAGGTGTTTAACTTTGTTATTTATATTTCGTTCCGTCGCTAATAACCTTTTGGTGGATGCGATCTTTTTCTAATAAAAAAAAACAACCTTTTCATTAAATGCTGTAAGCTTAACTTTAGTTGATGCTAAACACCTTTTATTCACTGTGTGAACTATTTGTTTTGAATCGGATCTAAACTGGCGTTTTTGTTTTGACTCACACATAGAAAAAAAGTCGATTACTCATTTGCTTCTGATGAATATTTAACAAATTCGGCACCCATATTGCTCAATATGACATAGATCTTCTGAATTGCGTACAAACTAAATATATCCTTAATAGTAGATCATCTAGGACTACATTTTGTATCTTTTGTGACATATATTGTTTATAAACACACAATAAACTTTTTTACATAGTTGCTGTTTGGGGCTCTTTTTCAAGTAGATCATTTTTTTCATTTATTCGAGAGTTATGTTTAAATTTCGCTGCGGATTTTTTTACTGTCACATTGTATGGCTAAGATAACTTTCAATTCATACAAAAAGTAACAATTTGGGGTTCCATAGAAAGAAAACAACTAAAGACAAGCCAAATAAAGAAATAAGGTAGATTAGTCTACAATAAGGTATTAAAAGAAACTTCGACGAAATGAAGGAAAACAGCATTAGCTTGATCAATGAATAGTTACAATATTTTTGTTACAAGTAATTAATAAAACATCTCAAATTTATCAAATATTTAATTTTCTCTACTTATAAATATATATCTACTAATAAATAATCTACTTAAAGAGTGTCGTTCAATCATAAGTCGAAATTCCAAGGTATGCATACTACTCCATCGGAGAGTACAGAATAGTATGTAGATATATTCAAGCGAAGATCTTTTGTATAAGGCTGCAATTCGAATTTGTTATTAATCAATTGTTCGCAACACTTTATCATCAAATCTGGAGTGATGTTGTCGTCTTTGGATAAAACAGCAAGCTGGAGATCTTCTATACACTTTTTATTTAAAGCTCGTTCCAAATATTTATTACTAAAAAACAGATACAATTTATAACAAAACAATTTTATATTATTACAAATCTAATTAAAATACTTTATATATATATATATATATATATATATATATATATATATATATATATATATATACTAGCTGACCCAGCAAACGCTGTTTTGCCTTATAAATTATTTCTAGTTTCTAGATAAATTCTAATGTAGAGAAAAAGTTCCTTACTTATTATAAGTGTGTAAGTATGTGTGAAATGGGCGAGGAGCGCTATAAACGATAAGGGAATATAAAAATAACAAACGCCAAACAATATTATTTTCAAGTTGTTATAGTTTATTACTTATAATTACATATCACATATTAATTACGATAGTAACCCTAACAAACAAAATCAATCTCTTAATGCTATAGCGTAAACAATATTTTTTGTTAGCCCATCTTTAGCGAGCACAAACAAACTGAACGGTTTACCCACTCGAGAGCATGCTACGTACAATTGCCTGTGTGAAAAACATGGTGTACTCAAATCTAAGCCACAAATAGACATCGTTTGGCCTTGGGATTTGTTGATTGGCATTGCAAATGCCCATCTAATCGGAAACTGAATTCGTTTGAATTGAATTGGCACATCTGTAGGTATGATAGAAATCCGTGGTGTTAATATATTTTCACCTTTGAACTTGCCATTTAAAATGCTGGCTTCGATAACGTTTTTCATTAATTATCGAATGACTAATCGCGTACCGTTGCACAGCCGTGGCGGGTTTAAATTACGAAGCAAGATAACTGGAGATCCAGCTTTCAATTGTAAATTATGCGGTGGCATGCCTGGCAAATCCAGTGAGTTCAAAAATTCTGTGGGAAAATTGACAGCTTCGCTGGCATCGCAAACTGTATCAATAGATTTGTATGATACCAAGTTCCCTGGCAACAACTGTTGTATCTTCAAATTTAAATTGTTGACGTCTGGATATATAATACGTTAGAATATGGATCCGTGCCGATAAGTAAACCATTCAATGGTTCAGGTAGTGTTTCAATTTCAGGTAGTTGCACTTTTCCTGACGCGCAACACATCCCAGGTGGCTCATTTTTGAATTTGAGAGCATGACAATGCGGACATTCCTTATCCAAAGCACCAATTACCACTTTTGAATGAGCATAATATTCAATATCGGACGCGTACTGGAATGCTAGACGCAAAAATGAATCAGATGTAAATGCACGATGTACCTGTTGGCGTTGTTGGTCATTTGTTCTTCGTCTATTAACCGTAAAACAGCGTGATTGTCGTTGTTCTAAACGTATAACTTTATTGCGCTCAGCTCGTGTATTTTCTGATTGTTCTTGACACAATTGCTGAATGCTCTCACGTGCATCAGCATTTTGTTGCTGGACTTGTTCTTCGGTTCTTTGGGATCTTTTATCTCTCATACTTCTGGACCTACTTGTATTACGGCTCAAATTAGCCCCTTTGCGTTTTCTTGGCATTGCTTAGTCTACAAAACGCATATAAATAGAATTAATGAAATTACTTAATGATGGAAAACGTTATAATTATAATTACGGTCAGGATTATAGCGAAAATATTAGTTATATGAAAAAAAATTTGAAACAATAGTTGTAAAAAATTCAAATAATTATATAAAAAAGTATACTTACAACACAAAAGCCGTTGTTGGTTGGAGCTCGTGACACGTGTTGAGTACTTTTAAGGTTATGTAAATCACTTGTTTAAATAAAACTTCATTAACTGATCTAATCGTGCCAAATACACTTAAAATTAATAATTTTATTATTATGAATAAAATAGTAATAATTAATAGTTATTATGAAATTTACACAGAAATAGAAAATTGATAATTGTGAACGTTACTACTACATTTAATGCATAAACAATAATCATGGATGGCCGAAAACTGCGTAGGGAGTGAGAGAAGTCTTGTGTGAGTGAAACAGGAGACCGGCTTCAGTTTATGGTACAGTGTGGCATTTCACTCACCAGTAAAGGTGCGGCCAATTTGAAGAATCTAAGATTGGTAACATTAAGCATATATTAGGATTAAACTTTAATAATAAAAATAAATGTTTATTTGTTTAAGGTTGTATGTATTTTTTAATGCAACATTATAAAAAAACAAAAATAAAAAATTTCCTCGAAAAATAAAAGAAAAATTAAGGGTGAACAACCCTTATCACTTGGGGGTATGAAAAATAGATAGTAACCGATTCTCAGACCTATTGAATGCGCATATAAAATTTGGTAAAGATCGGTAAAGCCGTTTCGGAGGAGTACGGTAGTTAACATTGTTACAGGGAAATTTTATATATTAGATTATACTAAAATAGCCATAAAAAATAGGGGTTGATGATAAAAAAGTAAAAGTTTAGGGTTGTATGTATTTTTAATGCAACATTATAAAAATACAAAAATAAAAAATTTCTTCGAAAAATTAAAAGAAAAAAATTAAGGGTGAACAACCCTTATCATTTAGGGGTATGAAAAATAGATAGTAGCCGATTCTCAGACCTATTGAATGCGCATATAAAATTTGGTAAAGATCGGTAAAGCCGTTTCGGAGGAGTACGGTAACTAACATTGTGACAGGGAAATTTTATATAGGGTGGTCCTTAAGTAATTGTACAAAAAGAAGCTGTAGATCCTGCACTTTAAAATATTACGATTTAAGTCAACTTGCTTTAGTAAAATGTTGATATTAAGAAAGATACAGGGTGTTAAAGTGGAAATTTAAAATTTTATTTTTCGCTTTAACTTTCACGTTTGTAAATATTTATGGACAAAAATTTATAATTGGATGCTTTTGAGCAGGAGCAATTATAATTTGATGCGTAATTTGATGTAGCTGATAGAGGGCGCCACATATGCCACATATGTGGCATAAATTTGCGCTTAATTTTTTTTCTCTTCAAGTTAGCCCTATTTTTATTAAAAAATATTAAAGACACATTATTTTTACAAAGAAAAGGTATACTTGTTAATAACTTCAAAATTCAACCGTTTTCGAGATATATAATCGAATTTTATAAGTCAGATGCATACCAATTCTAAGTTGTGATAATTTTACGGTAATGCAATGAATACCTGTGAATAAGCTTAATAATAAAAGAGGTCGCTGGAAACAAATGGAAACAAGTATCCCAAAGTTTAGAAGACAGAAACGGACACAGAATATTAGACATCAATGAAAAGTTAAAAGAATGGAAAAACTACATTTCTGAATTATTTGAAGATGAGAGAGTAGAACACTATACACCGATTGCTATATCAGGTCCATCTATAACAGAAAGTGAGGTAAGACGTTCAATACAAACGGCAAAAAATGGAAAAGCACTTGGCCCCGATGAAGTAAGTGCTGAAATACTAAAGTTTTTGGGAGAAAATGGAATTAAAGCTCTGTGTAATCTCTTTAACAGAATTTATGACACTGGGATATTACCAACTGATTGGTTAAAGTCGACATTTGTCACAATACCTAAGAAACATCGTCCAAAGACATGCGGTGATTATCGGACAATAAGTCTGATGAGTCACGTTTTGGAAATCTTTCTGCGAGTAATACACAGCAGAATTTATACGCTGTTAGAGGACAGAATTAGCAATACTCAATTTGGGTTTAGGAGTGGCTTGGGTACAAGAGAAGCCTTGTTTAGTATACAGGTGCTAGTACAGAGATGCAGAGATATAAATCAAAATGTGTATATTTGTGCAGTCGATTTTGAAAAAGCCTTTGACAAAGTCCGACATAACAAAATGCTAGAAATATTGGAAACAGCTGGATTGGACGATAAAGATCTACGAATAATTATAAATCTATACTGGCATCAAGTGGCAAGAATAAAGGTTGAACAAGAACTGTCGGATGAAATAAATATAAAAAGAGGAGTGAGACAAGGCTGTATATTGTCGCCTTTACTTTTTAACTTATATTCGGAGGAAATATTTAAGAAAGCCTTAATGGAGACAACCGAAGGTATTATTGTGAATGGAGTAACCGTCAACAATATTAGATATGCCGACGATACCTTAGTCCTTGCCAATTGCGGAGAAGACCTTCAAAATCTAATGAACAAAATAAAACAGACTTGTGATCAGTATGGATTAAAACTCAACGTTAAGAAAAGTAAATATATGATAGTTAGCAAACAAAATTATATACATGATGACGGTATAAAAATCGGAGATGCCACACTGGAGACAGAGTAGAGAAACTCGTGTATCTCGGCAGTAATATCAATGAGAGCTGGGATCCAACCGCAGAAATTAAAAGCCGAATAGAACAAGCCCGAGCTGCCTTTGTAAAAATGAGAAACGTACTTTGCAGTCATGATCTTAGCATTGACCTTAGAGTTCGTATGATATCTTGCTACATCTTTCCTGTCCTGCTGTATGGAGTAGAAGCGTTGACCCTAACTGAGGATATGCTTAAACGCTTGACAGCCTTTGAGATGTGGGTATACAGACGACTACTGAAAATAAGCTGGGTCGACAGAGTTAGAAATGAGGAGGTCCTTAGACGGCTGAACCAAACAACACAACTGGTCAATATAATAAAGAAACGCAAGCTGGAATACTTCGGTCATATTATGAGACACCCTGAAAAATATGATCTTTTACATCTGATCATTCAGGGAAAGATCCAAGGTAATCGTGGTCCTGGTAGAAGAAGAACATCATGGCTGAAAAATCTAAGGCAATGGTATGGAAAATCAACTACAACGTTATTTAGAGCTGCTGTCAATAAAGTCACGATAGCGAATATGGTAGCCAACATGATATCCAACGATCGATAACGGTCATGGAACTAGAAGAAGAAGAAATGTCTTATTGGAGAGAAGCTTCCATCTTCTTCTTTGGGTGCCGTGTTTGTATTCAGAAGTTGGCCGTCATCATGTTTAATATTATGTCTCACTTTGACGGTTCTGTATGTTGTTGATACGTTAGCAGAGGGCGCTACAAACTTAATTTATTATTAATTTATTGAATTATTTTAATATAACAT